CTCTCCCCTCTTTCTTTTCTCTTATTCCCCAGCCCGGTACGACGGCTTGGTCAGCCCGGTAAAAACCCCGCCGCGCCTGTTACGACACTGGCTAACACGCCAATCATCCCCCCCCCCCAATGAAAAAAACTTTTCTACGCCACTGATTATGGGAGGGAACAGCTAATGATGAAAGATAGGCATAAGAACCAATGCGACTGTTTAAAAGCGCAAGCAAAGTCGCGTAGGCCTAGTTATAGTAACATCGATCACTAATTAACAGTCGCGTCGGTTGGTTAGATGATTTGAAAAATAATTATTATGTTAAATTTACATTTATTATTAAAAAAGTATTGCACGTCACTTACGCCCCAAAACATTGAGTCAGTGGCTTCAGTAAAAATCAGCCAATGAGCAATCCAGCCATTATAGTAAATATCAGTGGTGTCAACTAGTTTGGATGTCACATTCGAATGAAAAAACATAATGCTTACAGCCTTAAATATGAAAAATGGAACGATTTGTTGTTATTTTTGTTTGCAATTTCACGAAAGATCGCGAGAAATCATTTTTTTACAGGTGTTCAACTCACAACAGGTAAGAAATCATACACATTTCTGTAACGCCTGATGCGTACGTGCCCACGCATGCTGTAAGTAAACTGAATGAATTTGTCCATTTTGTTTGTCATGATCATTTATTCTAAACAATCTAAATCCCCAGGATTGAATGTGGTTCGTGAATAAGAGCGAATAATTGGTTTAGATATCTACAACAATTAGCTTCGAATCGAGTCATTTATCTTAATCAGATGCCATTCTAGAATAACCGCACTGGAATGATAAGAGTAATCGATAGTGATTGTGAAAACGTTTACGTAAGTGTGGTCGATCTACGATAAGGACGTAATACTTAAAAAAAGATCTTTACATACTGTTTACCTCTTTTAGAGTACAGAACCATGCCGTTGAATTCGGATATTTTAAACATGCTGATTTCCAAATATCCCTACATCAATGAAAAAAATCAAAGAATGATAATTAGTTGCTTCCAATCAGATTCGATTTTTCATTGATCCCCAATAGCGGATCCAGCAATTCGAAATAGAGGAGGCTCAGGGAGGAAGTTCACAGACGGAGGGTCTAGACGACCTCTGCCCTACCATGTAGGGAGGTAAGAAAATTTACGATTAAGGTGCCTCTCCAGATGGCCGGAATTGGCACTCTCAGACCTAAATTTGAAAAATTTTTCCTTTTTTTCTACATTTTTAGTTTATTATTTTGAAAATTTTATAGGGGGGGGGGGGAGGAGCGGGCCGACTCCTCCTTGAATCCGCTACTGATCCTACTTTAGCTGGTGATCAGTTCAAAAAGTGTTCGCATAAATTAAAACTTCTATAAATCGATGAAAATTAATTTTTCCTACTCAAAAAATTGTAATAGATGAGTTAACGGGGCAACAGCCAAATTGGTTTAAGGAGATGTGTTGTAGAACAAATAACGACTCTAATAATATTGCTAAAACTGTCATACTGTAACTTTCTGAAGATCGGTAGTTAAGAGTGGGCAGTTGCATTCTAAGGTCCACGTCATCATTTAGTTCAACCACTCTTTATTGTCCTTCTGGTCGGTTGAAAACCCATGGTGATAGATCCTTCTCTGTTGCTGCAGCACCAAAGTTGTGGAACAAACTAGTACCCAATTTTGTAAGGTCTTCTCCATTTTAATTGGCCCTTTTTCAATCCCGGCTTAAATCGCATCTCTTCTCACAATCCTAATCTTGCTCTTGTTTTTTTTTGTTGTTGTTTTCTTTCTTTTTTGTCTTGACACTTGGTTTGGAAGCGTATAAAGACATTGCGTTGTAGATGCGCTTCATAAATGGAAGAGCATGACCATTACAAAGTGGGTCAACATATAATAGTGGCGCTATTACTCAAATTTCACAGTGTTGAAGCATATGGAAATTTACTGATTTCATATAGAAAATGACACAATGTAGGTATTCGTACGTATATCTATCAACATTTTCACCTGCAGGGGTTATATTTCACAGACATCTCTCATTTTGTCCATAAAATGAACCATGGAAACCGATTATCATGATGTACCGACATGAAAGGCGAAATAAATATCTGAATCTGAAAACCTTTGGTTAATTAACCATTAAACAAACAAACAAAACAAACAAATTATGCTTATCTACAACACAAAAACACACCCACCCTCATACACACACGGGAATTATTTAACTAATAAATATTATTTAGTTCCGAGATAGGGGAAAAATTGCAAGAACTGAAAATCAGATAATATACAGTAATTAATATACTTATATAAATATTAGGCCTATTTAGGTTTGATATATTTGCGCCATTTTCATCGGAGCTTTCAAATAATTACTAAAAATTATATTAGGGAAAGTTTTAACTCATTTACGATTAGTCTTAAGCTTAACGATATCTTTTCACCAACAACAATTTCAACATATTATTTTGCCAAGATGATTTAATTGGACGCAGTTCAATCTCCAGTGACATTGGAGAGACACTTTAGAAATTTGGACGATGTGTGCCTATCTCATGGGGCACCAATCCATTTCTGATAGTAAATTAGCAATAGTACAAAGTGGACCATTTACAATGTCGCTATATTTCGAAAACCCATGGTGAAAGTTCTTCAGGTCCCGAGGCTTTATTGCACTTAAATTTATTTAGGTTTGAACTTCCAAATTCCACGTGCAATGTGGCCAATGTCATTTGCATTGACAGTCACAACTGATAAATCATTAAAAAAAACACGAAATAAAATCTTTGAGATGACTTTTGATTTCTTTTTTTTAAATTGACGTAAATGAAGGAAATTAATTTATACTCTCAGGTCTTTAGAACCAAACAATCACAGAACACCATCTGTTACATGTGTGTATGCAAAAAAAAATTGTCAAACGTCCACGTTTTTTCCATACATTTTTTCTAGGGCCCTTCACAATGACATAAAATGACAAAGCATTGATGAGGTACCAGCAATGAGTCCAACGACCTTGCCAACTGCGTGACATGCTTATATCTATAGTTGTAACTAAAAATGAAAGTATGTTCTTAAAATGGTGTGTCAGGCGTTGAAATAAACAGTTTCGACAACATGAATAGTACGTTTTATATCTCTCAAAAGGAAATAAGATAGTCCAATGATATTTTACGTCAAGGTATTAGTAATGGGAGGTTTTTGCCCTACCTGACGTTTTATCGTACTGAATGCTCAGTACGTTCAAACCCACGACAAAGTATGTGGGTTCCATACATTGTATTCAGTACGATAACACGTCAGGTAGGGCAAAAACATCATTCCTATGACGTATTCTATAATCTACATGCCTGGTTGTCATATTTTTTTTATTTCAACAACTGATATATTATTATGGTGAAAGTCCTACCTAATCATTATTGTTGTCATTTTTGTGTAGCTTTATGTAGGTCAACTTAGATTTATTTGATGTTGTGTATGATTTTATTTCTTTCTATATGATTCATAGCAGTGTGTTAAGTGTTGAATAATTTTACCATTGCGTCAGTGATCTGCAGGGATTTACTTTTGTTTGCCGTTTACACGGACTTCCTCTAAGTAAAAGCGTTTGTCAATCTAAGTTTGGAAGATGTTTAATAAATGGTACATATGCCTCATTTGCATAACTGGTGTTTAAGGCATGTCGCCAATTTAGATTTATACAGATTTAGCTGCACGTAAGTAATAACTGCGTATCAAGACAAATAAGCCTATCCGTTGTTTATTTTTCATTTGCCGTCGGTATAAATTAATTGGAAAAATAGAGTAATGGTCAGATATATCTGAAAATAGGCCTCTAGTTGGAATGGTTACCGTACTAATTACGGATGATGGAAGAAGTACGTGTAAATATTTTTACTAAGGTAAGAAGGATTCGCCTAGTAATGGAAAACCGAACGGTGTTTAGATTCTATTAAATGCATAAGTGTTCCTTTTCATTGTTGTATTCATTTAGTTATGAATAATCGATTTAGCCATATGAATAATCAAAAGTTTTAATGTCAGCGAGTATGTTACACTACATTTTACTCAATTTAAGCATCGACAAATAATGATTCCCAACTCACTTACTAATTCGAAGACATCATCTCGTATTTCATCCTTTGACCTAATTTAGTTTGTATTGCCTTCTCCTTTTATCTTTACAATGAAGTAGGACTACATTATCTACGCAATGAAATAAAGAAATTCTCGATTGCATTTCTTAAGCATGTAGATAAAACTAAATTATAACGGAGAAATCCGGGACAATCAATGATTGTTTATTACTTATCGTAAATTGGCTTGAGCTGGTCTGAATTAGCTTTTTTGTAAGCCTACATAGATCTTTTGTTTGAATTCGTTTGAGTTTGTTAGGTTTCTAATTTCAAATTAATTGTTTTCGGCGACTGGCGTATGCGCTGTGTTCCACTAGAGTTTGCGTCAAAAACGCCTTTAATTTACCAATAATACATTAGCTCAGAGGAGATCAGCATTATACACGGTTAGGCTTAGGCTGTAATATATGATGAGAAAAATAGAATGAATAATTTACTTCTGTCGCGATTGTAAAGTTTCATCTAGACAGCGTTTTCTCTCTGGTGTTAAGCCACATTCAGACAGTGTTGATCGACTCAGAGCCGACGCGATCGCATTGCAACGCAACGCGACGAGGCAGACTATTATGTCGCGTCCGACACCGGCAAGCGCTTTACACCAGTGTGACCACTGCTTGGGTATTTACCAAAGATCTTGGGTATTTTGACTTTGTCTTGGGTTCTTGGGTATTCCGTTCAAATCCTTGGGTATTTTATTTTTACTAAGAAAATTAAATATTTGTCATAGAGGAAGAATTAAGAAGTAACATAGTATATTTCAGTCCATTCAAGTAAGCAAAACTCAACGAAGTGCACATAACATTGCTAATTGACTGTTAATTGCTATAAACATGGGTTCAGAATTGTTTATTTGTGATTTGCGTTGCCATTGATCTTACCAATTTTATGCATTAGGCCTAATAATAAAACTTGATCACTGATCTACTGATAACACTGGCCGACTGAGGGCGTATTTTCTATCAGTATTATTACCTCATGAATATTCATTTTAATAATTAACACAAACAATTACAATAAAAAATGGTTTATTGTTTGAACAAAAAGGGAAACTATACATGCGAAAAACACTTTTTTTTTTTCAAATTTTAATGCATTTTCAGGAAGCTTGGGTAATTTTGGGCAATTTTTGCTGAATCTTGTGTAATTTCGACCCAGTCATTAGGTATATCAAAAATTGTGAGTGGTCACGCTGCTTCACACACACAGAAATATTCTTCTGTTGGCAATCGACCAACATAGTTGAGACACAAAAAAACTGATGATTGGGTGTAGGACCTTGTTACATTTTATTTATTCGCACATGCATTGAGGGTATATTCTACGTGTTGATTTCAATTCCCAATAGTAGAATTAATAACTTCATGAATAAGTTGATTGCACTGCTATGGCATTAAATTGTGGATCACTTCGTGCGGAATTAAGATTGAAATAAAATCAACATGTTAGCACGAACATCGAGCTAAGTACCCGTGTATTTTCTACGAACGAGATTGCGATAGGAAAGCTTCTGCGATCTGAATGTCTTAAGAAAACAAAAATCAGTGTCGGAGAGATACATTGTGCAGAACGCACGTTGTTGATAATATTCCGACAGGACCATTATACAAAAAAATAATTTCAATAGTATATGTTTTAACATATAGCCTGATTTTTTACTAGGCCAAATAGAACTGTCATCTGAACATTAGCAGAATCTGATATACAGGTCTATGACGGGGAATGTATTGAAACAGAGAGCTGCCTTTTGCATTGAATTATTGTATACAAGAATATCACGTATATTTACATGAAGACGTCTTGTGTTAGTTTCATGTGTACCTCAGTCAACAAACTTTCTCTACATTTTCTGCCATTGTAAAGGGCAATCTGATTAGGATTAAAAGTGAATTTAAATAGGCCTTAACTGATGACGTCAATGTTTATGCGCTTGATCCACGCTTCAATATTAGGTCACTCACCCGCGACCTCATTTGACCCAATGTCCACCAATATGAGGCTATTTTTACAGCACCATTCGGGTCGTATAATAGCGGCCTTTTACACGAAATATTGATTTTGAATTTTGATATTTTACCTGTAAGTGATTCATATTCATTATACCTATTATGATAATGACATACCAGGTGAGCATGTACGGTTCGACGGGCAATGAATCTTTCGGAGTGTCAATCAAACTTAACTACTGACCAATCAGAACGGTAGGCCTACGCGCTTGTTCCACAAGCACACATCATAAAACGCACGTGTGTAGGCCTACGTACATTTACGCTATCATTTTGTGGAATTTTGTGGGACCTTGGGAACAACCTGAGGGGTAGGGCTTTGTTGCGGCACGCGAAAGTAAATTTAAAACCATGTGTGCTGCCCGTCTTCTTCTGTGGCTAGAAATCCCCTTGTTGTTACGACCTCACAACGAACATCTTTGAAAAGTAGCATTATAAAAGCAGTGATGAAAGCAAGCACATTGAAAAAAAGATCAGATTTTCATATTGGTGTTTTGAAAATTCTGATCAAGATAATCTAAGATTACAAACTCTCGCCCTATCGCGGTCCGACCCGTTTGATGCAGCTCGGCCTAGCAGCCAAACTAGGCCGGCCTCGCGTGGCCAGCCCATCGATCGGCGAGTTTGCACGCTGGCCGGACCGCTTCCAGTCCGTCGGCCAAAAAGAGGGCTCCCCTCCCCCACCGTCAGGGAGAAAAAAAAATTATATTAATTTTCTACATATTAGTAGACTCTAAAATCGATTAAATAAGCCTCTGAAACCCCTAAATTGTCAAAATTTTCGTGGGGCTTCGCCCCGGGACCACTTTCGAAACCTTTTAATCGAAGCTCGACCACGCCCACTTTGCTTTCGTCGGTGAA